AGTCAATGAGTGAAGAGGCAAAGATGTCTGAGGAGTGGCCACTTAAAGGCTGGCCACTGTGTTTCAGGGTCTAGACCCCAGCTTTGCAGAAACAAAACTTCATTTTTGTCAATGTACCCAGGTCATGTCAAATTTTTGGCAACTGACAAAGGTTGGTCAAACCACGGCTACTCCCGCTCCTCTTCATTCTCCTAACAGCTAACATTTATTGAGTACTCAGAATGTGCTAGACACTGGGCAATGTTAATTGCTTAATTTACCTCACCTAATCCTAACAACAACTCCATTTTGCAGACGAGGAAGCTGCAGCACCAGGAGATTAACAACTTGGTCAAGGGTAGACAGCTATTACATCGCGGAGCCAAGCTTCAAACCCAAATGTCACACTCCATGAGCTTATGCTCTTAATCATTACACTACACCCATCTACCTTAATCATTATACTATACTATGTTATACTATACTATATTATACCTACCTAAAAGTATGTTACCCCTGGTTTTTTTTTCTATAAAGATTTTATTTATTTATTTGACAGACACACAAGTAGGCAGAGAGGCAGACAGAGAGAGAGAGAGGAAGCAGGCTCCCAGGGAGCCTGATGCGGGGTTCCCAGAACCCTGGGATCATGACCTGAGCCAAAGGCAGAGGCTTTAACCCACTGAGCCACCCAGGCGCCCCTATTACACCTGTTTTAAGGAAAGAATTCATGAGCAAAAATCATTCTTATTAACTTACAGTAGATGATATTCATTCCCAGGGATTAAAAGATCAGCATCAAAACATCAAATAAGAGAAGTCAATGGTCTTGAGCAGGAATCTTTAAGTGTAGCTGAGGGATGGCTAATACCATAGGTTCTCTCCTCAGATAGTGCTGAATGAACAACTAAACTCCATCCAAGCCAGTCTAGCTCTCTCTAGTTAAGACAACAAGCTGACCAAGTCCCTTTCCTTAATATTCTTTCTTTAGATAAGGAACAACATAATTGAACAGGGTGTGATGGTTCTACAGTTTCATACTTTTTAATACAATCAGGCATTCTTCAGAAAGCCTCATTCTGCCTAGACTGTTTTATACACCTCAGCCACATATTTAGGAAATATTGGTATCAGTGGATCATTCTTGCATCACATTTTCGCTCTTCCTGGTTTCACTCTTTGAGGTTGGTTAAGGCACTGGCATTCTTTAACTGTTGCTCCCCCACCCCCATCTCCATACTTCAGTACTGATCACAGTCCAGTACTCGGCTAACGAAAAGTTAATTTCTTTATACAGTAAGAAAGAATCATAAACATGATTCTGAGAATTGTAAGAGCATTGTAGAGGGAATTGAAGATTATGAAAGGTTGAAAAAAGAAAAGCAAGTTGTAGTTGAATATAGCTGTTGGGACTGACCCATAAGAAATATATATATACAGCACATAATAAGTACATATTAAAAGACTACTGTTTAGATGTACAGACTATTTCTTTACATTAAAAATAGATATATGTGCAAAGGGTTCTAAATTTTTTTTTGTTTTAAGGTATTCACATACAAGCTTAAAGTAGTGACAGTGATTTAAAAGTGAGACTAAAATGGAGAAGAAAATAAGAGTGAACTTTTTCTTTAATGCTTCTCTAGAAAAACTAAATCTAGGAAATGCAGATAAATTTTGAAAGCTGCTGTAAAAGGATTAAGAATTAACTCACCCTCACCTAAACTAATAATATAATAAATATTTAACAACAGTAAGATATTAAGAATTACTTAATATTTCATATTAGAAAAATCTTAGAATATTTGTTGAATTAAACAGCATTTATATTCCATTTGAATCTGGGAACATGATCTTAATTTAACTCACAATGCTATGGGCAGAAGTTTATGTGGCTGAAACTGATTTCAAAAGAATCAGTCGGGGGGCGCCTGGGTGGCTCAGTGGGTTAAAGCCTCTGCCTTCAGCTCAGGTCATGATCCCAGGGTCCTGGGATTGAGCCCCGCATCAGGCTCTCTGCTCAGCCAGGGGGCCTGCTTCCTCCTCTCTCTCTGCCTGCCTCTCTGCCTACTTGTGATCTTTGTCTGTCAAATAAATAAATAAAATCTTTAAAAAAAAAAAAGAATCAGTGGGAATTAAAGTGCTCTGTACAATAATATCTTCCTGATTTGGATTCACATTTAGTGAAAAATACTGGTTATGTTTTCTTAGAGAAAGAGTGCTCAGTAGAATAGTGTATGAAAATACTATGCAGAACCACTGTTTTTTCAAGGTACCTAGAATAGCAAAGCCCTGCCTAGAATCGGCCCTCTTCTAATAGAGATAAATAACCTATAATTAGAGTTACCAAAGGACCTGTTTCTAGAGAGAAAGGCAAGCCTGTCAAGGTTTACCCGTTTTCCTATAATGTGCTTGAAAGCAGTTTGTTACAAGTTGGAAAACTGCTTCTTTTCATATTTTTTACAGTATTACATCTTCAAAATTCTCTTTAGTGGGGCACCTGGGTAGCTCAGAGGGTTAAGCCTCTGCCTTCAGATCAGGTCATGATCTCAGGGTCCTGGAATCGAGCCCCGCATTGGGCTCTCTGCTCAGCAGGGAACCTGCTTCCCCCTCTCTCTCTCTGCCTACTTGTGATCTCTGTCAAATAAATAAATAAATAAATAAAATCTTAGGAAAAAAAGTTCTCTTTAGTACAATAGACTTTGTATTCAGAAACAAAAAACATTTATTGTAGCCTAATAGTACTATCTTTCATTCATATTGTAGCCTAAGTACTATCTTTCAATAAGTTACCTATGCTTTCTTTGTGCAACAGCACTTTTCATAAGTTCTTTTTTTTTTTTTCCTTTGAGAGGGAGGTGGGAGGGATAGAGGGAGAGAGAGAATCTTTTTTTTTTTTTTTTTTTTTTTGAATGAGTGAGAGAGAGCATGAGAGAGGAGAAGGTCAGAGGGAGAAGCAGACTCCCCAAGGAGCTGGGAGCCCGATGCAGGACTCGATCCTGGAAGTCCGGGATCATGACCTGAGCCGAAGGCAGGTGCTCAACCAACTAAGCCACCCAGGGGCCCGGGAGAGAGAGAATCTTAAGCAGGCTTCTCACCCAGTGTGGAGCCTGAGGTGGGGTTGATCTCACAACTCTGAGATCATGACCTGAGGCGAAATCAAGAGTTAGTTGCTTAACAGACTGAGCCACCCAGGCGTCCCCATAATTTCTTAATAGAAGAAAGTCAAATTAGTGAGCCTTTACAGAATTGATACTCTGTCTTCCAGGAAGTATATAAAAAGATCTTTATCATTTAATCCTTTGAGAAGAACCCAGTTAAGTGGTAAACAAAAATCAATAAAACTAAAGGAGAACTGGGGTGTCTGGGTGGCTCAGCCAGTTAAGTGTCTGCATTCAGCTCCAGCCATGATTCTAGAGTCCTGGGATCAAGTCCCGCATCTGGCTCAGCTCTCCCTCTGCCTGTGGCTCCCCCTGCTTGTGCTGACAAATATATAAATAAAATCTTTAAAAAAAAGAAAAAATGAGAACAAATTCTATATAACATATTCTATATAACTTCAGTTTTCTGATAGAATTTTTTTTGCAATGGATATATTCTTTCCATAATTTGATAAATCTGAAAAAAAGTGTATGAATTTGTAGCATGGTCAAGAGAGGATCCATACTTCATTCAATGACTAAATTTCCTTTCTTCTGTACTCTGTATCATATATGTATATACATCATGTGAAGTTACAGATGAGAAACATAGAGATACAAATATCTAAGGATTTCATCTCTCATGTGCAGCAATTCCAACTCATATATTCCAAGTATTTATGGTGTAATGTCTTTTTTGTGTGTGGCTGGTGAAAAAGAAGTTAATCTGTATTTGTAGACTTGGTATTTGGCAAATACATTGTAAAATCAAAACTGAAAAGTATAGCTTAGGAAATATAGTCAATAATATTGCAATAATGTTGTATGGGTGACAGATGGTGACTACACTTACCGCAAAGTAAAGAATTATTGAAACACTACGTTGTACTAGTGAAACTAATATAACATTGTCAACTAAGCTTAATAAAAATTAAAAAATCAAAACTGAATTTTAAGCGATTCTATCTAAAGAAAAAGTTTACATTTATTTTATATAGAGAGTGGCTGAGCAGCAAGGCTGTTACTCAAAGACAGCTTCAAGTCCCACTCCTCAGGATATCAGTATTAGTGGATGAGATGTGTTACCACAATACAAAGCAGAAAGCACTAGAAAGGAAGCACAAGTTTAACTCTGTGCTTCAAATGCAAATAATTTCGTAATTGCCACTAGCTAGAATGCTTTAAGGATTTAGGGTTTTTGCAGTTACATTATAACTGGCAAACGAAACAGAATTCTATTTCTTTGTCCCCCAGACTCCTAAGAATTCGTATAGTGTTGGTGAAAATTGGTTCTGAAGGGGCTGGAGGGTCGGTGCAGTCCCTGGGGGGGGGGGGGGGGTCACTCCTTTTGAGGCCCAGGGTGCAGTGACCATTAGTCAGAATGGCAGGGTTCATGGAGTTCTCACCCTGGCCAAACTCCCGATTACCTCCGATGAGCCCCAAAGATGACTGTGTAGCCGTTCAGGCCAGGTCCCCCAGCAGAAAGGCGGCGGTAGCTGCAACATCAGCGGTTAAATTTTACAGCCTTTCATAAGGCCGGTCTAAGTACCTGTAGTAAGATTACTAGAGCTGAGGGTCCCTAGACTGCGGGGAATGAAAGGAGGGAGGGAAAAGGGAAGGAAAATGGGGAGGGTAAGGAAAAGGGGGAGGGGAGGGGGCGGGACACCGCGGTGAAGTCCACAGGTTTACAGGCGCGGTCTGACGTTCCCATGGAAACGTATCCCTCCGCCCGTTCCCAGCGTCTTAGCCTCCTCAGTTCCCTCCGCGCCGCCTCTCCACTGTTTCCGCCCAGCTCCTTTGTGCCGCGCAGAACGTCGAAATGACGCATGCGCAGAGAGACGCAGCCGCCGCGTATATAAACGCGAACCCAGACTCTTCCTCGTAGTGCCGCCGGGACCGTTGGCCACTGACGCGTTTTGCAGCTGTTGTATTCCTAGCTCCCTGGGCACTGCGAGCTGAAAGAGCCGAGCTCGCGGGCCCGTCATCATGTCGCGTTACGGACGGTATGGAGGAGGTAAGAGGCCAGGGCCCGGTATGGGACGTTGCTGTGGACGTAGTGAGTATTGCGAGGCCGTGGGGTTGGCGCGGCGGTTGGGAGACGGTTATTCCGCGTGCGTAATGGCGGCTTCGGCGCACACCATACGAAGCCGGAGGCCGCGGGGGCGGGGTATGGAAGTCAGCCGGGGGATGGCGGGTGCAGGTCTGTGGTGCGTTCTGTATTCATTCTTGGGCGATTTCATCTCCCACCACAGCTCGAGGCAGGCGGACGATCCCGTTTCCCGGTTGTCCTTCTTCGAGCCGCCCGCCTGCCCCCCCACCCACCCGCTCTCGGCTGCCATTTTGCGCACATTGACGACCGTGGTGGCGCATTTCCTTGGTGCTTTCCCGCCACTTTAGCAGACAGATCTGGTCGCAGCCGTAAAATCGGGTGAATTTGAGACTGAACAAAAAGTGTGGCAGCTTCGAGCTGTGCATTCTTGTCAGACAATCGGTCGAATTGAGGAGTGGGAAGGGAGACCTAATCTTTTCGTCTGGCGGCTGGTTTCTTTTCTCTTTTAGCTTTTTCGAGCGCGGTTTATGGCCCTGGGGCGGGGAGCTGGAGTCTGGGCGAGCCTGCGCCTGGGGCGGTTGCCGCGGAGGACGAGAGCCGGCGCAGCCCCGCTCTCCCGGTCCGGCCCCTGCCGGGGCCCGCCCGCTGCCGACGCTGCCGGCCCGCGCGCTCCCGGCTCGCCCGGGGCTGCCGGGACTCGGGGGCGGGGCCGGGGCGGAGCCCGCCCCACGCCTCGGAATATCCTACCACGTGTCTGTGCTTCTGTTTTGGAGGTTATTTCCCTATTAGAATGTAAAGTTCTTTGTCATACGCCTAGCTTTTCTAAGTATAGTGGGGTTTGCTGGTTTTAAGGCTAAATTAAATCTTTGATAAAGCGTTAAACGAGCTTTCCACAGTCTTAAGGCTGGCCTATTTGGGGCCCAGGATTCACTCAAGCTTAGGCAAAATTTTGCATAACATGCATTGTTCTATTTGCGTTTTTAAACAGAAACCAAGGTGTATGTTGGTAATCTGGGAACCGGTGCCGGCAAAGGAGAGTTAGAAAGGGCTTTCAGTTATTATGGTCCCTTAAGAACTGTGTGGATTGCGAGAAATCCTCCAGGATTTGCCTTTGTGGAATTTGAAGATCCTAGAGATGCAGAAGATGCAGTGAGAGGCCTGGATGGGAAGTAAGTAAGATGGTTATGAAATTGATGTTTATTAGAATATTCCTCTGGTCTGGGTATTGAGCTAGGTGATAAGCTTGGATTCTCTAGTCTGGAGGAGACTCAGTAGCTAACCATGATTCTGTTTGTTTTTAAGATATATGAAGGGGGCACAGAGGTGGAGTTGGAAGGGTTTATAAAGATAGCCGAAGTCTGTGAAGGATAAGAGTGGTTGGAAAGCTCTAAATCTAGAAGTGATGTGTATTCTTTAGCATTAGAATTTTGTTGATTTCTTTTATAGGGTGATTTGTGGTTCCCGAGTGAGAGTTGAATTATCAACAGGCATGCCTCGGAGATCTCGTTTTGATAGACCACCCGCCCGACGTCCCTTTGATCCCAATGATAGATGCTATGAGTGTGGCGAAAAGGGACATTATGCTTATGATTGTCATCGTTATAGCCGCCGGCGGCGAAGCAGGTATTTATTTTAATAGAGGAATGGTTGGTATACTAGTTAATCGAGTAATTTTTTTATTAGCAAGGCACAAACTAGTATTTTTCTATAAACTTGAATGTTAATTGTACAGGTGTATTTTACAATTTTTGTTTAATTAAACAAATGTTAATATATTAATAATCAACCTGGTCAAAACCTTTCAGGTTTCTTCGTTTGAGTCAGTCGCCTTGATTCAGAATGTCACGAGCCTTATGATATCATGCTGAGGCGCCTTGCAAATCCGACAATTAAGATCCTCCTAGACCTTGAGGTGATCAGCATAAGAGGCCAGATCCCCTCGAGTCATCTACACCTAGCTTCACCTTATTCTTTAAAGGGCAGAAAATTTGAGACGGTGATCGCCGTAACAGTAAATTTGGCTTACATTGGGGCCCCCTCCGGTTTAGAAAGAGGAACACCAGATTGACCACATTCCCAACTAGAAAAATCTTCTTGCGTCAATCAAGCCTCACCTGGCTCATTTGGCTGTCAGTTTGATCGTCGTTAGATTGAAGAAAACATCTAGATGCAGCGATCGGCTATAGATACTTCTAGATCGTCTAGATCTACTAGACCATGGGCCAAAGAGGGTCGACCTGCAAACTTGCAAGGTTTATTTTAAATACAAATTACAGTGTTTTATATTATGTAATTCTAAAATGTAATTCAGCTTTTAACAAATCTTTTTTTAGGTAGTAAAAAAAAAAAAAAAAAAAACTAATAGGCCCAGAGTTTATTTCCAAATGAGACCTAAATTTAAATAGTTTTGAGATTTGGTTTCAGCAGAGGCACACAAACTCTAAAAACGAGTTACCATCTAACATTTTGTTATTTTCTAACTTAAAAATTAGGTCACGGTCTAGATCACATTCGAGATCCAGGGGTAGGCGATACTCTCGCTCACGAAGCAGGAGCAGGGGAAGGAGGTGAGGAAAAATTACTTAATTTAAGTTTTACCAAATGAAGAAATTTTAATTGGACATAAGACTTAATAAACTTTGATTTATTTTTTAGGTCAAGATCAGCATCTCCACGACGATCAAGATCTGTGTCTCTTCGTAGATCAAGATCAGCTTCACTCAGACGATCTAGGTCTGGTTCTATAAAAGGATCGAGGTATTTCCAGTATGTAACATTTTTTTTCCCTTATTTGTATTCGGATTGTCACGTCTTAATGACTGAACTTTAAGACAATGAGTGTCTTAAAGACCTAATGAAATGGATTGCTTCAGAAGATATTTTGAGACCTAAAAGTTGGATTTATATATGACCTGTAAATGGATATTACCGTAATTGTACAGATAAAAGCCCAATCAGATTTTTAAAGGGTTGTTGGAGAGGTCATGGTAGAGGATGGTCCAGAGCACAAAAGTCCTTCAGCACTCTGGGTAGATACGTTGCTGAACTCTAGAGTCAGATTATGTCTGTCTAGGTAAATGATGCTACCTCTCAAAGGTGATCTCTGATAAGGAGGCCCAATAGAATGGGGAGGAGACTTAGAAGCAGTTGAAACATAAATTTTCTTCTTCTTGGAGTGATGGGGGGTGAATTTGAGACCATGGGAAGTTGTTTAGTAGTATACATGTGAGCAGATGTGGCCTGTTTTTAACCAGAGACTTAGACCGAAATGTAAGAAGTTGAAAAAAAGCAAACTAAGAACATTAGTTTTGTTTTTATTCCATTTGTGGAAGTCCTTTAAAGGTGATAGAAGTGGGTAAGATTCTAGAAAATGAGAAGTGGACCGTACTACAGTTGAGTCACTAGTAGGGAATGCCACTGGGAGTTAACTGTTAAGTAATAGCACAAAACCTTTAAATGTAGGCGTTATAAACTTTTAGTTCTCTTGAGAAAACTGTAGACTCATAAATGCGCTTAATTTGATTGCAGGACCCCAATGTGTGTATTTTAGAGCCAGATTTAGTTTGTTTGACAAATTGGCAGTCCTGAGCCATGAAAGCTTGATGATCTAAGGATAAAGTCTTAAGAACCAGTTATGACTTTATACTGAGCTTATCATCAGAAGAATTGGAGTCTCTATTTAGGGGTCTGTTTGATGTTGGTTTGATTCTTTTTCAAGATAGAATTAAACCAAACTCTTAAAACCCATTTTTAATTTCTCTTTGATACTGTATACTCTGTAAGAAATGTACCTTTGTACAGGAACTGTGATAATCAGCCCAGCTCACTGAGTATGATAGAACCAAATATTTGAAGTGGTGGTTCTTTATTTTGATATCAGAGCTTATTGAAAGCGTTACCCGTCTAGTCTTAGGCTGATATAAGGAAAGAGTTGTGTCTTGCTTGGTTTTATTTTTTTTAATACCTCGTTAAAAAAAAAACACATAAGGTAACCTTTACACCCAGCTTGGGCTCTAACTCCCAACCCCTGAGATTGAGTCGCATACCCAGCCCACTGCGTCAGCCAAGTGCCCTGTGTCTTGATTAATTTTAGTTTCTCTATTCTTAGTTTACCTCATAAAGTGCTCAGTAGTGTTTAAAGATTGTTCCTATGAACTAATGGGTATAATTTGTTATTCTTTTTATTAAGATCACGGTCGAGGTCAAGATCACGATCCAGGTCTCTTTCACGACCAAGAAGCAGGTAGGGTAAAAATCTGATTAATGCTTTTCTAGTTATATGGCACCAATATCCAAAGAGTTCAAAGTGTTTTGTTGAAATTTCAGATGTTAACTTTAAGCCTAGGTATTGGTGGGACACAGTACCTTACTAGCAAACTGAACTTTAGAACTGCACTTATGGCCTATTGTGACTGACTTCCTGGACAAGGAAATGTCAAGCTATAGTGAGGAAGTTTCTGGCTCTGGGGTTACATGAAGAGGCCTTGTTAGAATGTAAAGATTAATTGTGATACAGTGAAGCAGTTCGCTCATTTTATGAACCGTTATTGCAAGATTGGCTTCTGTTTGCAAAACTGGTAGGTTCTTTTTCAGTTTAACTATACAGCCTAACCTTTTCATTTTAAGCTCAGGGCAACTTGGGGGTTCATTTCATGATACTGTGATTATAAGAAAGGGATTGGTTAGTACTTTTTCTTAATAGCATTTCTCATGTTTTGACAGCCGATCAAAGTCCAGATCTCCATCTCCAAAAAGAAGGTAAGCTAAATAATTTGTTGCCAAATCTTAACTGTCAAGTGTGGCCTCTGCGGAATTTGTTTTGCTTACTGCTTAACTTTTGCAGGCTTTGAGCTCTTTGGAGAATTGGTGCTATATATATTACTAGATACTAAGTTTCTTAGGTGATTGCTTTCCCACTTCAACTTTAGCTTGTATTTTTGATGGATATTTAGTCATGAAATGTTAGGATGATTATTAAGATGTTTAGTGCTGTGAACCTTTAACTGTATAACTTCATGTTAAGAAACCTGCTTTTTCCTCCACATGGGATGATAGGTATATGAAGTACCCACAGGAAGGAAAAATGTTTATATTGAAATCTTGCAGCTAAAATACTATCTTGCTAATTAGTTGCTACTTAATGATCAAAACCTCCCAGAGTTCAAATTACAATTGTAACAAGGAGGCTCTTAAACCTAATCTTAAACGGGGACAAAGGATTTGTATGTAAATCTTTTGGTTTTCCGTTTTCTGCTATATAGTGCCCTTGGCCACCTTTGAGTTTATTGAAATTGAGTTTTGCCCTAACATGTACATGAGAAGAGTAAATTTCAGTAAATACTAATCAGTGCCGAACTTAATGTTTTTTCTTTTTAGTCGTTCCCCATCAGGAAGTCCGCGAAGAAGTGCAAGTCCTGAAAGAGTGGACTGAAGTTCTCAAGTTCACCTTTTAGGGAAAAGTTATTTTGTTTACATTATTATAAGGGATTTGTGGTGTCAAAAGTGTAACCTAGGAAGGGTATTTCAACAATCTAATCAAAATGGATTTGGATTATTACTCTGTAAATTTCACAGCAGTAAGATAATATAAATTTTTGTTGAATGTATTAACATCCTATGGTCTGAAAATGTGGGTTTTTATTTGGCACATTTAAATAAAATGTTTCTAACTAGATTTTTGATTTGTGTTCAATATTAATACTCAGTTTGTTAAGCTTCAGGGGTAAACCCTGATATTAACCATATTCATACAGATCTCCATTTCAAAGTTTAATGGTGTTACTTGAGTCGTGAACATCATTAGCTGTAGTATGCATACACTTTGAAAATCCCTTTTTACCCCTAGCGCTTTGGGTAAGATAAGAATTCAAGCTCCCTTAATAGCATAAGTGTACCTGACAAGTCCCTACATTAATCTACTGGAGTTGGTGTTACTAGATAATCAAGCTCTAATCTCGGTGTGTCAACCTAGAGGGACCACTGATTCCGAAGGCCATTTAGTTTAGTAACTGAGGTTTTCAGGCTGTTAGATGAGATGGTGTCAAATTAGAACTCCTGATTTTAGTAAGTTCTACCCAATGTTTTTTTGTTTTCAACATTAATTTTATACCACAACTTTTGCATGTTTGAGGAATTGTCTGAATTTGGGACAAAAGATCTTCATGTAAACCAGCTTTGCAAAATTCTCCAGTCCAAACAATCTATCTCTTGAAATGGATTGCCTTATTCTGAGCAGAGATCTGTTAATTCCCAATCTAGGTTTTTCAGTTCCTGACTACCAACATCTTATTTTGCCAGGCTGGTGTGAAAGTATTTAAAGATGTCAATCAGGAAAAAAAAAAAAGATGTCAATCAGAAATGTTAATGAGACTAAAGCAGTTTTGTAAATCTCACCTGCATTTAGTAATACCTTATGTAGTTGTTTTCGTAGCATCTGGTAGATTTAGAATATAGCCAGTAGATTCTTTTATTGAGACTTTTTATCTTTAGTAGGGCAGTAGTAGTTAATTTTGAGTTTTTTGGTCAAGCTTTTACCAGGTATTCACTAGCATTGGTGCAAAAAGGAAATACTGGTCTGCATCAAATTTATTTGGTCTGATTACTAGTGCATTGAAAGATTGGATGCTTTGTTTTCAGAATTTTGACAACTGGCTGAATTAAAATGGTATAAAGCTTTGTGTATAATTGGCAGGTTTATTTGTTGCACTTGGTCAGCTTTAATTGTTCTGTATCATATAAAGATAAGTTCACTTAATAAATCTGCAGAGAACAAACAATCCTGATATCAATTTTTGAAAGTGGGAGTTTTGAGCCAAGAGTAGGAATCTACCTGTAGCTTTGGGATGGATTACTAGCAGCATCCTAGAGATTAGTGCAAAAGGATGAAAAGGATATGGAGGAGGGGTAGGGGCAAAAATGGGTTTAAGAAACAAGCACAGAAAGTTTTGCCCTTAATGGGAAAGGGAATGCTGGGTGTCTAGGCTAGTACCTTTTACATGCTTGACAGCAACCATTTCTATGATTAGTATACGTCTTAAAATAACACTTGGAGGCAGTGTACTTTTGTTTACAGTTCCAGGTATTAGGAATGCTAAATTTATGTGACTGACTTGATAAGTGCTAGTCTAGGCTCATTCCTTCTAAATTTTAAGCCTGGCAACTTGGTAGCTAATTGAATATACCAGACACAGTACGTTGGGCATAGAATCTTATTTTTCCTTTCAGCTACAGAGGAGTGTTGAGAGGTAGGTAATGCATACCTTTGACTTCACAGTGGTAGTTTTCCTTTGGACTTGGAGCTAGGCTAAGTATCAAGTGAAAGGTCCTACCACCTTGCCATGTCCCTCCTGAGGTGAAGGAAATCAGGGAGTTGGGAAACACCATCACTTTGAGACTTGGTTGAATAAATGATGGTGTAGGATTGTGATTCTCATCTTTGTGTAGCCTATCTTGAAGCCTAAAGGAGCACAGTGATTTCCAAGATAATAAGAGGAAGTAGAAGCTCTAAAACAGTTCGGCAAAGAGCAGTTAGAGTGAAGAGTAATAGTGAAGAATTCATTAGATCTGGCTCTTCTTGAGTGACCGTTGTTTGGAGGCTTTTGGAAGGGAGGGCTATACAACCTAGAAGATGTAATTGCATAGCTGGAAAGACATGAAGTAAAGGTCAAAGTAACATACTAGGGGCCTGGCTGGTCTTGGAGTTTTTGGAGGGTGGTGAATACCGGTGACAAGCCAAAAAAATGGGGTGAAAATGCCTAGGTTTATGGTATGGTAGTATTAAAGTTCTATCTTAAGGGAGGGTGGCAGGGAAGCACCAGTAGGCAGCTTTAAAGCCTGACAGGTTATTTTTTCCACACCTTATAGGTTTCCTGTTACCATTCTAGTAAAAATACGAAAGGACATTCTGTCAATCCCCACAACAGAACAGTGCTGCTAACCTCATCTCGCAGAAGAGGAAATGGGTTCAGAAAGATTGCTAATACGTTATCCTATTAGGAGGTAGGAAACATTTGAATCCTACATACCATTTCAAAGCCTTTACTTTTCTAGTCATTAAAGCACCTTACTGCTCCTTTAAAACAAAACCATATGGAAAAATGAGGAAATAAAACCTATGATTCTACCCATTGTAGATTATACCATTGCTAATAACTTGGCTATTTTCTTTCCAGACTCAATGAGGAAAAGATACTGGATAGAAGGATAACAAGCATGTGGAATGCAGTAGCCAATTAACTGTTAAAAACCCTCAAGGCCAGTTCTCAGGATCTAGTGCTTTTTCCTTCTCCCATAGGCCGCTGGCCCAACTTCTTCTCCATTTTATTTCATTTTTTGACTAGGTAATACATATTCAAGGTGTATACAGAAAGAAGGCTCCCTACCCCTGACTCAGCACAGTTCTCTCCCCAAAGGTAACCACTGTTACCAATTACATAGCCTGAGCAAATATACATAGTATTTTCTTTTTCCTTTTAACATAAAATAGATATACCTTGTTTTTCTCACTTAAGGTTTTGGAGTTTTTTCATGTAGGTAAAAATAGTGCTTCCTCATTTTTTTATGTCGCATACTATTTACTTCCTGGACATTGCATCATTTATGCACTTAACTTTTGTGCCCCTTCAATGTGCCAGGTACTGCTAGCCTTGGAAAACAGGTGAACAAGGTCTGTCTTCATGGAGCTTAAGTTCTGGAGAGACAACAAACCAGGTGGGTAATAATGTATATGCACAACCATGAAGCTGGCGGGGAGAGAGGGTATTGTTCTGTGTTGGGTAAAGGTGGTCTAAGGGAGGCCTCTAATGGTGACATTTGGCTCTTGAGGGAGGGAATACGGTACATCACCTTTGGGCAGAGGGCACAGTAAGCGTGAAGGCCCTGAAGTGTTTTAAGTTGGGTAAGAAGGCCACTATGAAGTGAACAGAGGGGAGAACGGGAAGAGTTGGAACAGGAAGGGAGAGGGCTAAAGATCATACAGGATCTTGTACACTTTGGAGAGGACTTGCTTTTTTCCCATGGAGTGCTTTTGGGCAAAGAGTAGCAGGAATTGAATCAGTTCCCTGTCACCTGATAATGAGGGTTCTTTCTCTCTCTCTCTCTTTTTTTTTTTTTTAATTTATTTTATTTGACAGGGAGCACAAGTAGGTAGAGCAGCAGGCAGAGGGAGAGGCAGACTCCCCGCCTAGCAGGGAGCCTGATGTCCCCGGACTCCGGGATTGTGACCTGAGCAGAAGGCAGCGGCTTAACTGAGTGAGCCAACCAGGTGCCCTGAGGGTTGGTTCTAATTACTGTAACAATGCCATAGTGAATCACCGTGTACAATACATTGCATGTAACCCTGCATATCTTGGATAATCCCTAGAAGTTCAGTTGCTGGGTCAAAGGATATGTGCATTTATATTTTTGCTAGGTATTGTTTGCCCTGGTGACTAGGTATGTTAGAGTCCGTTTCTCTGTAGGATTGCCTACATAGTATACTTTGTATAACCACATGGTGGGCTGTCATTTGTTAATTTTACCAATCTTGTGTTGGGAAATGGTAATGGTGTCTCAGCATAGTTCTTGTTTTTTGTTTTAATTGTGCCAAAATGCATATTTTTCTCCTATTCTGGAAAGTTTGCACATACTCAAAAGTTTGGTTTACATTCCCTTTCTCTCAACACCATGAGCTTCTACAGTCGGATTCCTGTTCACATGGTAATTGCCTATTTACTTCTCCGCAGGTATGTTGCCAAAAGTCTAATTGCGACAGCATGTACCAGGCCTTACTCCATTTCCTCATTGCCTGGTACTTAAATATTTGATGAAGGAAAAGTTAGTTAATGGATGAATGAATGAATTCTAATCTGTTAAACCAAGCATATAAAATTGGAACCTCCTCTCTTGTCTGAGACCTTTATAATCACCGTTTCAGTTAAACGTTCACGTTTCCTTTTAGCCGTCTCTAAGACTGACTCTGACTCCTGTCTGGATCTGCCTACAGAGGATCTGGATCCATAGGCTGCTGTTTACAATGTCCAGCTCCACTCTGCAACTTTAGGGAAGGTTTTTTTCTCATTTGGGTATAAGCTCCAACAAGAGTACGCTCAGAAAGGGTGTGGAAAATTTCTGTGCAGCAAGTTCTCTGCAGAGAAGGGTGGAGACTTACCTGCCACTCCCAAGAGCTGGTGAGCCCAGGTGAATCGCCTATCCCATGTAAGAAATGTAATGTCACTGGACCAACAGCAGCCATTTCGTATGACTGTCAGCTGCCTAAGGTTACCTGCTGTAATCCTGACCAATTCTGCAGATTCCCAGGGTGGTTCTCGGTAACCAAAGCTTGCAGGAGCCTGAGTGTGATCCTATAGGAAGACCCTGTTCGTTTTTATTTTGGGTTGTAACATATCAAGAAATCTGGATTCTTGAAAATGAATCTGTTCAATGCCAAGAATAAAAAACCTGGCTGTAAAGAAAATATATATGGCAGAGGGGCACCTGGGTGGCTCAGTAGGTTAAAGCATCTGCCTTCAGCTCAGGTCATGATCCCAGGTCCTGGGATCGAGCCCTGCATCGGGCTCTCTGCTCAGCAGGAGCCTGCTTCCCCCTCTCTCTTTGTCTGCCTCTCTGCCTGCTTGTGATC